GGATGTAACGACCTGTGATTTGGCTGGGAAAAAGCAGCTGACAGGCGACTACTGTTATCCAAGCTGCTGTTTTCAATGATTTGGGTCGAATACGTGACATTTCTTAATGGTTTACCTTCATAAAGGATCTGTCAACCTGCGGGAACTCTGCTCTGAAAGTGAACCACTTTAGAGTGGAGGTCAGTATGATATACTGCTGACATTTAGAAATTGACGGCAGGAGTCTTTCCATATCTCAGATTCCGTATTAAGGCATCCTGTTGAGAAATACTTTACGTTAGCCCCCACCCACCATTGTCCTAATCTTTTCTGAATATTTTCATTACTTGTACTTTACAAAGTCAAGGTTTTTTTCCAAAAATAATGTTGGTTTCTTCTGGGAGGGAAGCAGTTTGCTCACAACTTTCTGTCCTCACTGCCCTGTGGCGAAACATCCTGTCCTTGGGACCTCACTGCTTGAGCCCTTGGTTCAACCGCACTGGAATACTAATGTGATTGTACAATCAACAATCAATTCCCTGCTGATGTGCATTGGACTCATTCAAAAACACTATGCCATTTGGACTTGTTCTGATGCGCAGGCACATACATATTTGTACATACATTGCAGAGGAAGTCAGAACTTCCACTGTGTGTACCTTGCATAATGTGACCAATTCAAATTTGATTTACCTGTTCATGTACTCTCTATGAGGCTTGAGTGTTGGATTTGCAATGGTAGGACTCGCAATAGGGTGGCTCCAATTAGCTTCATGATACACACATACACACACATTGGATTTGGGGTGTTAAGCTATTACAGCTGTCACTTGCTGCACCATTGGGCCACCATCCAGCCTGGGGCTTGGTGTTCCTGCAGTGAAACAAACCTACGATGGCTTTTATTTGCTGCTGTAAGCACCACTATCAGAGAGCCGTAAGACGACTTGCTCAAGTGGCGATTAGCAGGTTTATTTTGAACAGGAAGATTTACTAGTCTATTTGTCAACCAAGCAGAAGCGTCAGAGCAAGGCAGAAAAGGATTCAACAAAGAAAAAGCATTTGAACGGTGGCCATGCTGACTCGAGAGGATTGTCCTTTTATGATGGCACCATCACCAAATCTATTATAATTAAAGTAATGTAAAGCGCTACTCAGCAAAACTAGCGGCTCCCTGAGCAAAGGCTACAAGGAGTCAGAACATTGGCAATTGTCTTTTTATGATACTTGTTCTCGAGACTAAATCACAAGTGGAATTGGGTGCGCGCCAATCTCTTAGTGTAACTCACACACCTCCTACTTTGATCCACATGGGTGTAGGGCTCGGAGTTAGCAGAACAGAAGCTTTGTGATCAAAGTAATCAGTTACTGCACAAGCCATTAGGTCTCCAGTTCTGTATTCAAGTGATACATAACAAGTTGGATTCGTTTTGCTACTTATTTACTTGAAATTGGCAGAACAAATGCATATTAATTGTGCAAATTAAATATTATTGGAACCCTTAAGGCTTAATGATCAAAATGGCACTTGATAAATAACATCAATGTGAGCAATTATGTTAGTCGCTGAACCATCACAAATATGACACATTATCTAAGTGTCTTGGATGTAGGTTCTTGGGATGGAACAGCATAAATTTCATCGGCTCACAGGGTCAAAGCCTCTTCTCCAAATCTCTTTGTATTAACATGTCGGTATAATCATAGCAGGCAACTGAGGACAGCCAAATAATCTCTTCCACTCAGCCTTATCCTAAGTCCTGACTCTATTGGGAGTTCTTTATGTGAATGAGTTCCAGTTTACTTTGGTTCATGAATACCCTGTTAATAGCCTATCTGTAGACTAGCCAAGATGCACTGTATCCAATGGCAAAAGTGAGAAAAGAACATTCAGTCCATCCCCACAGTCTTCCAGAAACTACCCTTTTTCCTGATTCCAGGGACAAAGTTCAACATCGATACATCCTGAACTTTAAGGTAATCAAGCAAACATTCCACATTATCCATCACCTGATCCTGCACTATCATTGGATCATCTACCTAGGATGAGTGATGAACATGCTGATGGTCCAAAGGAAACCCAATGAGTCGATTAATGGACAGGTGGATGGTCCAATTAGAGCACAAATTCATTTTTAGATCCTTGAACTGTAGGTACTTGAACACACCAAAACCAGCATAACAACAATAACATGCATTTATATAGCGCCCTTCATGCAACGTAGGGTCCCCAAATGTTTAACCACAACTTTAACAAACTGTTGCTGCAACTTTTGGACCAAAAAAACTCATGCCTTATATACATCTCATTTGACCTCACCAGCATTTTTTTTAAGTTACATTCAATTGTCCTCCACCCAGTATTTGATTAGCTTTCCTGAGAGCAATTTCAAATTGACTGCAGGGAATGATCAATAAGCACACCCAAAACATTTTCCTTCTCCATCTCTGCTAATGGGTACTCCTTCATATTGTATGTGTTTGCTGTTTCTTGCTCCAATATGCATTACGTTGCGTTTATCTGCATTAAAATCCAACTGCCACTCCTTGACTTATCAGCAATACTCAGCCAAGGCTGGAACCATTCCATTAGGAGCAACTGCTTTCAACAAAGGAGCTCTGAGCTTTACTCACTGGCACTTAATCAAGCAATGGATCTCTCTCTGCAGTGAGTGCTGAGTTCAGCTTTTATTTTTTAATTAAATGTAGTGTACATGATGGCCGAGAAGTGAAACTGACATGAGGTTCAACTAATGGATGCCATCTCCTTTCCGTGCCCAATGCTCCACGGTGGCACTGAGTTTCTCTGCATCCCTCTGTATTGCTAGAATTTCTGCACACAAGGCGAGTAGAAGTCGGTTTGGCTCAATCTGTAGTACAGGTACCTCTGGGTTAAAGGGCTGGGGCTGCAAACCCTACATTGGAACTTGAGCTCATAGTCCAGCCCGAACCTTGGAAAATCCTTTCTGTAACGTCTTCATTCATTCATTTATTCATGGCATGTTCACTGCAATAATCCTGCACTGCCCCATTTCTTAATTTGATTGTTACATAACACTACAATTTCTCTCTCAATGCAGAGGAACACAGATATCACAATAATTGTAACTGGTGAAAAGCAACAGCATTGTGTGCCTGCCTAGACACAGCTGAGCACACAGCATCAACAGCCATGTGGTATAGAAGCCAGCACTGCAGATTTATTCAACTGAATAAACCATTTACAATACAATGCTGATGTAAATATTTCAGTGGTGCTTTGTCGTATTTATACTAATAATGTAATGCTTTGTACCTATTTATATATCGTTATTGTTATTATTGTCAATGTGCCTGTAGTTTTATGGCAATGTGAGCATCACTGACCAAAGCAGGTTAGAATGCAGAATACGACTTGTGCAGGTTAAAGTCTGCACCTTGTCAGGGATGTACAGTGAGCAAACACCTTCAGTCATGAGTAATTTACAGTGCTAAGGCAGCTAAACACCTCAATCAGTAACGTAGGCGGATAGTATATTAATTTCAGTTTGTTTTTCAATTCCCAGTCTATAATTACTTTGAAGTGAAAGTCCCTGCACCACATACTGAAAGACCGCAGTGCCTCAAATAAAACCTCGCTGCTACCAAAATTAGACATTTCCATAAACTTCTAAAAAAAATGAAATCTAGAAGAGATTAATATATTAGAGCCGGTTCTCTAATTAAGCAATAAATCACAAAGCAGCCAGGGCATCAAGAGTTAATGAGGATAGCTCTTTAATTGCTACTGTTTTAATTGGCAATCTGTGCCACCCACAGTGGAACTATCAGCCACTTGCAAATGCCAGCAAGGGATTACGAACCAGTGCAAGGCCTGGTTTATTATTTCACTATCCTTCCTTTTGTGTGAATTTACATTATTAAATACACTATAAATAAAGAATATGACCAGCAATTAATTATCCTGGAATATGTTGTTTTCCAATTTATCTAATTTTCTGTTGTGCAGAGTTTGAGCAGACTGAAATGTCCACCTGCTTTTCAATTCTCTACCAACGTAATTCCAGCAAGTTTAAACAACAATTAGAAGTGATGTTCTTTAAAGGGAATACTAAAATCGCTAGTGGTCGCTTTTATGTTTTAATTAACAAGGATGGGAGGAGTGCTGTCCTTTAACTTAGGGGAAAAATAAACACTTAATAAAAGGAGGTTAATGGCACTGAGCCACAGTGATCATAAACACTTTGATGCTGCTGTAAATTTGGATGTAACTTCTGCAACGATTGAAAGTCCCTTTGGTACTTAACTCTCGTCTCTGGTCAAGCATTCTGAACAAAAGCTGACAAGTCGTGTTCTCAAAGCCACAAACGGTAAGTCTGCGCACTCACAGCTTCTTTCTGCTTTTTAAGCTCAGAGTCTGAGATATTCTCTTTCTCTTTCTGTTCTCTAACCAATGCGAAGTTTCACCCAATTACAGTATGCCCTATTGCTGGCTCCTGCTTCTATAAATACACGATAGAGTTTGTAGCAAAGCAACGCCTACAGAGAAGCGATCGTCAAACTGCCCCAAACCCGGGGTGGTTTCTTACTGCAGAGGTAATAATATAGCATTGAAACATCTCAAAGAGAATCCCAGATGATTACCAAATGTAGTTTGAAGTCTGATATATTTTATGAATGGGGGGGGGGGATGAGGAGAAGTAGACTTTGCAAATGTTACATTGGAAGCCTCGCCAGCAGTCACAGTGGGGGGAGGAGGGAAGCACCTGGGATATAAAATCAGGATTAATTTAGGAGTTACTTTGAACTCGAAGCTCGTTCCATGCATGCCAAAACTTCACAATGTAATTTTTTTAATACAGATAAATTACCTACTGCAACTTTTGCTAGGAAACTGCTGTTTCGCCCACAAAAAAACAGTCACTCCACTTTACAGTATATCCTGTAAAGTGCTTCAAGATATCTCAACAACATGATGAGGCACTCTTATCAAATGCAAGGATTATTATTACGGCCATCGCTCACGGGATCAGTGCACCTACCCCTGCTCTTCCATCATCTCGTGGAGCTCCATGCACTTGAGCTCGACACGTCTTTTTCTCTCGTGGTCCAGGATCTCTCGGTTGGCCTTTTTTGCCAGACCTGCTTCCATTTTCTTGGGCTCCTCCTCGGCCTTGCACTCGGTGCTGTCTCTGCTCTGCCGGGCTGCCTCGGTGCCTCTCTGTCCACAGCCATTGGCACAGCTCTCCTGGGGAGTGGTCATGCTCTCACCGTTGTTGTACATGGCACTCGGACTGAACGGCTTTGCAGCTTCAGCTCTGAGGGAGGAAAATAAGAGGAAAGATAAGGTTAACGAACTTCAGGTCCAGGCTTGCTGATGAGTCACACTACATCAATCAGGATAAATTCACAATTCTGAACAGAGGAAGACTTGGCTGCTTATAAAAACACTGTGTTCTTTTTAAGGGCTACCATAAGAGCACCTGGACCTTTTGAGCTGGACAAGCGTTGCTTAAAATTCCGAATGAAGTCTCCATTTCATAACAAGTCATCCTCCACTGTACAGCTGCTCTATAACTTGCAGCACGGGGCAGATCTGTAACATCCCATCTCCGGCTCAATAACCCACCCGATTAATTAAACCCCTCTGCTTGTCCCTCACCTTCACTTTACGTGAAGCGCTTGGAAACGTCTCAGCGGCGTGAAGCGGCGCTGTGTCAAAACGCGAGGATCGTTACAACAACATCCTCAGGCACGCGCGCGTGTTAACGGCCAAGCCTGCAAACCAGCACGGTTGGCGGTCACAATCATAAATCCGAAGGCTCCATTAAAAATGTGGTTTACCGTCCAGGGCTTTTGACACAAACGACTGCGTTCTTGTTGCTGTGAATGCTTCTCCTGCCTCCACCGGTTGAGGCTGTAAAGCTGCTGTCCGCGGTGCTGAAAGGACTATTGTGTGTGTGTGTGTTGCTGTCCGCGGTGCTGAAAGGACTGTTGTGTGTGTGTGTGTTGCTGTCCGCGGTGCTGAAAGGACTGTTGTGTGTGTCTGTGTGTTGCTGTCCGCGGTGCTGAAAGGGAATCAGTCCCTGGTCGATCTATTGTATGTGTTGTTTTTCCTTAGATGCTGAAAGGATCTCTCTCTCTCTCTCTCTCTCTCTCTCTCTCTTTCTCTCCTGCTCTGTGCTCTGAGTCCACAACGCCGAAGGCAGACTTTGCTGAGGCGGCTGCAAGTTAGAGCTGTAAATATCCTGGTGTCTGTGTGTGTGTCTGTCTGTGTGTGTGTGGGGGGGGGGGGGCACTGAGGAAGCAGCCGGCTTGGGCTACCCCACAATTATTAACGCCGACTGTCCCAGAGCAGCTCTGACATCCTACTGATCCCCTCCGCAATCTGTCACCACAAAACAGTCTCTAGTGGCCAAATAAGAAGCGATTTTGACGACACGAAGACTCCGAAGAACCTGACAATAAAACAGACTGTCTGCAGGGGACGGTGGGGGGGGTGGGTGTTGGAAATGTTCTCCTATCAACCACGTTATATATAAACAAAATAAATACAAGTATATAAACTGAAATTAAAAACTGTCCCTGGAAACAATCCGCGTTTACGCACTCCATTCGCTCCGTTTGCACATAGGGAACCTCACACTCCACACAGTCTCCTTAAGGCTCAACTTTCGTGGAAAATTAGCAAAGAAAACCACTGACAAAAACATCAAATTGCAGAATTGCAGGAAGTCCAGCCGTGCTAACAGAAACAAACAAAAACACACACAATCAAAAAATAAATATAAATAATGAAAGAAAGAATAATGAAATACATAAATAAATAATGAAATGACAGCCCGGGTTCCAGGAAAAACACTGTGTAGATTTATTAATACAAATAATAATAATAATAATAATTATTATTATTATTATTGGGGCTTAAACCGTAACATCAGCAGGAAAAGCTTAACTCAGGTTTGGTTCTCACGGTCTCAAGTCATTCAACAGCCCAGTGACAGGCGCTTGAATTGCAGTATAACTTGCAATTGGTACTGATTGTGGTGGTTGGTTGTTGGTGGTGAAACTCTCTCTCGGTTGCTGACAGTGCTTGAATGGAACAACAACAACAACAACAACAACAATAATAATCATCCTTGCATTTTAATAAACAAATAACTAAACAAAGAGAAAAGAAAACGTGGTCAATGCAGTCACTTACCGAGGATTGGATTAACACTGTATCTGTGTCACTCTCTCTCTCTCTCTCTCTCTCTCAGCATCGCCTGCTTCTATATCCCCGGACACAGACTGAAACCATTCACTCTCTATCCTATACTTGTTTAAAGGCTGTGCAAAGCCTCAACCCAACTAAACCAAGTCCTGCCTCCTCTCTCTCTCTCTCTCTCTCTCCCCCCCCACCCCCCACCCTCTATCTGCAGCCTGGGTGCGTGTTTCTGGGAGAAACAGGCTGCGATGATGTGGAGAGAGAGAGACAGAGCACACACACATACACACAACACACACACAGAGCAGCGACCAATGTGACTCTCAATATGAAACCCAATCAGCTACGATTTTGTCAGCTCAAGTTTCTCCAACGAGAGGTTGTCACCACAGCTCCCACTCCCCCACTGCCTTCCCGGGGGGGGGGGGGGGGGGGGGGGGGTGGCTGATGCTCAGGTTCCCCCTAACACAGTGGGTTACACAAGCACCGTTTATGCCCCCCCACTTCTCCTCTCTCTTCTCCCCACCTCCAGTCATTGAGTCTCTCGCTAACGTCACAGCCACAAAGGCTTTAATCCTCAGAGCTGCGCCTATGCGGGTGTCGAGGCTCTGGATCACATTTTAACCCTTCCAGTGCCTCGCTGTTAGAAAGACAGCAGCTTTCTTCTCTTCTCAGGAGAGGGGTGTGTGTGGATTTGTAGGGTAGAGTAGTAGATACTTGTTTTTTTTCCCCCACAGAATATACTGTAAAGTGAACTGACTGTATATTGTTTTGCCCGCAAAATGTACAGTCCATTTACTTTCCCGTGAAGCGCTTTGAGACGTCTCAATGACATGATCAGGCGCTATATCAAATGAAAGGATTATTATTTATTATTATACGCTACCTCTTCTGACTGTAACACAATGTCCTTATCAAATGTCTTTCCTCCAAGGAGACGTTTCCATGGAGCGTTAAGCGTGGCTAGGCTGTAGATGGGATGATCCCAAGCTCACACAACACACTAGCTTAGCCTCAACATTTACCTGAGCTTGTGAATTATTGATATGAAAGAAAGCAAGAGGGGGTGAGGGGGGCGTTTGATATCTTTCATCACTGAAATGCGATCAAGTGTACAGTGGGTACAGCCCTCCCCCTGCGCAGTAAATTAATCCCATGGTTGAAAGGTGAAACGGATACATGGGTTTGTGTGTTGCTTTCACCTTCGCACGGAAAAATAAAACATTTCCTACCACTTATGCTAACAGAACATTAGGTTTGGATGCTCTTAAACATGGTGATGGGTTTCCATATGTGTCAGACACCAGGCTAACCCCCACAACACAATTGCCCAGTGATTTACTGAGAGACATCCTCTCTTGTCTCGCGCCCCCCACCTGATCTTTAGAAAAATATAAAAATCAGTCCTTTATCTGGAAAATTTGTTTAAAAACTAGAACTGCAACTTCTCCGCATCAGTCTTGTCATTTGGAGCAGAGAAAAAAACAATAACAAATGACTTACAAGCTGACTTCTTTGTTTAAAAGTATCCACAGATATCTCAGTGCAGGTGACTGCACATTAAATGGCTAATGATACAATAACATAGGACAGCACACACAGAACCAAACACTGTGAATATCTTAACCAGTAAATAATAATAATAACCCTTTCATTTGATATAGCGCTTTATTGTGTCATTCAGACATCTTAAAGCACTTCACAGAATATACTGTAAATTGAATTGACTATATTTTGTGGGTGAAACACGGCAGCCAATTATATTTCTTAAATTGTACTTTGGGCCAGATGGCAATCCATGTTGAAAAATAACAAGAATGTTAGTAAGTTTCACCCTCCACTGGGTTCCCGCTCTCGGCTGTGCTGCTGTGGTGAGGACCCAGCAAAAGCCAATAAACACAGGGTCTAAAGCGAGTCTGCAAGAGCATTCATCCTGTTACTCTTGTGAAGCTCCTGTTATTCATCATCAGCAAACCTGGCGATCTGGCAGTGGCATTTCCCCCCCCCCTCCTCTTCCCCTCCACCCCCCCCCCCCCCCCCCCCCCCCCCCCACACACACACACACGCATAAGAGAAGAAAGCAAAACATCTGTACTGATATAGCGACCTTCACATAATGATATTGTCTCGGAACTCTTCCAAAATGTCCTGATGTAAAAACTGTCAGTGACCCTGAGCCACACTCCACAACAATGGAAACAGTGAGCGTTGTTATGGAAAAACAGGATCTGTACTCTGCATGGATTCCTTGAGCCTCCTGACCCCTTGTGTGAGCGCTTTAGACAGTTATATGGAAACCATAAAGGTTCCACAGATCCCTCGACTTGATGAGCATGAAAAGGCACAATTTCATACAAAGAAACCAGTCTGTATCAACTTTATTAAACTTGGGTCTTTCGAATGAGTTCATTAATTTTGATGTGTTTTTACCAATTATTTGCCCTGATTTATTAATAACAACTGTCGGAGGTGCTTTCTTTCTTGAAAAAAAATGCTCTTTATGTAGTTCAGTAAGTATCCATCAGTAGCATTATCTGTTCTAAAAATGAAGACCAAAGTCCAATTAAGTCTGAATGCATTCCGTGTATGTAACGTAATTATCTGAGCCTCCAGCCACATTGGTTGTAGAGTGACAGGATGGACACCAAGATTGAACCTCATTGACATTACAGGTGTACAAATTGCAGTGAGCAGATTAATATGCTGAACATGAATCAATTTGAGCATTTACAGAGTGTCATACAATGCCAGCCACGGGAAACAAGGGCCTCAGCAAATGCCACCTCAATTTTAGGCCTACATGAACTTATGAGACGGTTTTGCTTGAATTTGTGGTAGTGCTTGATTTTATACTTCATCAGCATTGCACAGAGATTCTGAACTTGACCTAAAGGGTCACGAGAATTGCATGATCCAGCTTTTTGTTGACCAAAAAAGGTTGTTAAACTGAGTCACTGAATGATCAAGGACAGGCATCTGACAAGGCTGCCAAGCAAGCAATTATGAGTGAGTGTTATAGCTGCTGGTGCTCAGGTAGTCCTGCAAAGGTTGCATCAGAAGTAACCATATTTTCACAGACTTCACGGATTTTGTGCTTGAAAATGCATG